ATGAGTCGGACATTGACTGAGCAGGAAAACACCTGCAGTTTTCCATGAAAATTGTCAGTTGTTCTTGCAACTATATGAATTTTCACAATCAATTTCCAGTTTGTTGTCTCAAGAGATTCATTTTTGCAAAAACTCATGTCTTCAAATTTTGTCTCTCATCACTATCACTTATTAATCTCCATTTTGGAAACATCATTTAATAGTATTTTTTATTAACATGATTATTGTATTTCTACTTTGTTCAAGACAATTAAAAAAAGAAAAAGACATTCTTCAACTCTTATGAGAAGGGATATGTATATTAGAGTTAACCTTGCTGGTCTAATATCCACTACATCAATTTGCCTTATTCCAAATTTTCAGAACTGATGATGCAAATATGAAACCTTAAGTGAAAATGAACATTAAATGAACATAAACTCAAGGATTAAACTTGAGAAATGAAGTACATACACTGCATTATGATATTTCAGAAAAACAGAGTGTCGAACATTTATACTGTTTCTAGGAAAGAAACAGAAACTAATACATGACGGTTGCAAAAAGCAAAGAAGTTACAAACTGCCAACATGAACTGCTACACCACTAAGCAAAATAAACCATTTGCAACTACCACCACACAAGAACTAACACAACTAGTTAACGGACTTTATCTCATACGTTAACAACAACACCAAATGAAGCAGGGACTCTGCAACCAAAGTCTATATTGTATTTTTTTAGTGAAAAAACATTTTGGCACTTCTACCCAATCGATCCTTTGTCCCTCCCTTTCCTGGCCGTCTTCGTGTTGCTATCCTGACCCCACTTCGTCTCTTCCTTGTAACACTAATTTCCTTTCCCTCATTACCACTTTTAAAACTGTTTGCTTCTTCAATCTCAGCAACTTCCTCCTCAGTTTCATCGCATTTACTCCTCTTGTGTTTAATGAAGTTAACAAGTCCTTGAAGGGCAAGGTCAGCATCTTCACTCCTCATCAGTTCCTCTGCCACCTCTGCTGGGGTCACCTCCGTGCTCTGTATCAAGCTTTCGATTTCTCCAAACAGGGGATGGTCTCTGTTGCTGATGTCCAGGTAATTAGAAGCCAAGATCCTGAACGCATCAAGGGTGCAATAGGACAGGTTGATGTGCACGTCCATCCTGCCAGGACGCAGCAGCGCCGGGTCAAGCCTGTCCTTGTGGTTGGTCGTGAACACAATGATTTTCTCGTCCCCACAGCTTGACCACAGTCCATCAATGAAGTTCAATATGCCAGATAGCGTTAACTACAGTGAGAAAAAACAGAGGAATTAGAGTCTCAAACATTATTAAAAGGTTGAACGAAACTAATGGTCTTTAATCAAACCCGAAAATGGTACCCACCCTTCTGTTTGAATTATCAGATTCTAAGCGATTTTCTCTGTCTTGAACCTGAATGCTGCAATCTATGTCCTCGATTACAATAATTGACCTGTTAGTTGTTGATAACAATACGTTTCTCAAGTCCGAATTGGAGTATATACTTGCAAGCTCCAGATCGTATATATCAAACTTGAGGTAATTGGCCATGGCAGCAATCAAACTCGATTTTCCAGTGCCTGGAGGGCCGTACAACAAATACCCTCGTTTCCAGGCCTTCCCCACTTTCTTGTAGAACTCTCTCCTCCTCACGAACCTCTCCAAATCATCGATTATCATCTTCTTCAGCTCCGAATCCATGGCTACGGTATCAAATGTGGCTGGATGCTCAAGATTCATGGAACCCCAGATGCCAGTATCATCATCGCCGCAAGGACAGTCACGATTATAGATCTTAACCACTTTGGACTCTTCTTTGATTTGTTTAGCCCTGGCCAAAACATGAGGTAAATAAAAGTCGACGATTTTATCTTTGAACTTCTTGTTGAAGCTGAGTTCAAAGAATTTTTTCTCTGCAGAATGCTTTTCGCGAGGCTCTATGCAGTTATACCTCCATTTCAACTCAATTCCCTCAAAAATATCGACGACCTCTTCATCCTTTTCGATTGAGATCGCGAAATTCTTTTGCCTCTCGGTTTTGCTCAGCTTGAGCCTCTCTGTTTTGGGGCTGATCTTGGTGGCAAGATAGAGGTCGGCGGCATTGTAGACGTCATTACTTGACACCCCGCTGGATTCGTTGATAACGAGAGTGAGGTTGGTAGAGGGAGGGGTGAAGAGGTAGTGGAAAAAGGAGAAGAAGTAAGATCTGAGCTGCTCAGGAATGAGCTCTCTTGCCATGGTTCGGAGGAGCATTAAGGTTCCGGCAAAGGAGGCGTAGGTGGAGAGCAATGTGGATGCAATGTTAGACATCTCGGATCTGGAAAACATGGAGGCCATTTCTGAAATCAGGGGATGTTGAAGAGATGGAATGCGAAGAATTGGGTGAGTGCTGCTATTTATACAGTGGTAATGCCGATTGGCTGCTGCTTCAGATGCACGCTTCCTAAATTCTTTTTCTTTTTTTTTTTAAAACTTGGACACGATTCCTAAATTCTTTTTCTTTTTTTTTTTTTAAACTTGGACACGCTTCCTAAACTCCTTGCCCCGGAAGGAGTTCGAAAGTCAACGAATTAATGTCAAGGGTTAAATTTAATTTTTCATTTATTAATTATTATTCTCTTGCCATTTTGAAAGCCAACAATTCAAAATTAAAGATTAAATTTAATTTTTTATCTATTAATTATTACTTTGTTTTCATTTTAGTTTAAAAAGTTTAATTTCTTTTAAAATTATTTATAAATTTTGAAAATTATTTTAAATTTATTTATCCAATAAACTACCGCTAATTTTTTTAACGGAATTTCATGGTATGCTTACGTG